CTGAAATGAAACAAAAAGTGGCTAAGTACCCTGCAACCATAGAAATCCTTTCACATAGTCTTCTTGGGACCTAGGACCTATAGTGAGTCTCTATCACAATGAAAACATCACAACATTCCTAAATGGTTGGCTAAGACCAACAACCTTCTCTTCAGGATCTGCAAGAGCAGTTCAGGTGTAAGGTCTCCACTGATGCCAGTCCAGAGCAAGTCTTGACCCACGTTACTGGTTACTGAGCAACTGCACGTCCCAAAAGGGAGGTGCTGTACTGATCCACTTAGTCTGATGGACTCTTAGGAACCAGGCAAGGGTTCAGTGTGTTACAAAGAAATAAATAAGAAAAGTTAAACAATTACATTAAATTTGTTTCACAAGATTTCTGATGTTGAAAGAAAATCATAGTTAGTTACAATATATTCTAAACATGAGCAGGGCTTTCAGCATGTAAAAAAAAAAAACAACCGAAGCAGCATTCCCAGAAATTGTCATAATAAACTCTGTTGCAAAGACTTCTCCAGGGCAGGCCTCTGCGCTAGCCTGAATCCACCTGACTTCAAGCCTAGTCCTGCAGCGTTTATTTATGTGGACAATTCCATTTGCAGTACTCATGACTGCACAGATAAACTATTTATGACAGAGCAAGCCTCAACTCAAACAAGTCACTTCAAGGAAAAATAAGAATAGAAAAAGACTAATAGATGTATTTGAAATATTTCTGGCTCCATAATATCACGCTGTAAGTTGAGCAGAAGTTGGTGCAGAACTCACTGAAGAGCCCTATTCCCTACCTAATTAAGGACAATGACAAATAAGGGAGGCCAGGCACATCCTTTTCATATGAAGATTATAAATTTTTAAGACAATCTGTCTGATTCTTTTTGATAGATTTCTTATAAAGCACATCTTTAGTGACATTACATTTCTTCTCATGTTAGCTCCTTAGTCTGCGATAGTAAAAGACACAATTGTTCTTTGTTTCTTACTTTCAATACAGGTCAGTAGTTACTAAATACTGGTTAATACCAGTTAAATTCCATAGTCCATGTTATTCAGGAAATCAAGCTAAGCAAGCATTAATACTTTCATATGGGTTTTACCTTTTATCTATATACATTTGGAACAAAAACCAGTAAATTAGTTACCTCTTGTGATTATGTAGGTGTGATACTTCTTTCAAGATCATCTTTGTATTAGAAATTTTAAAAGCAAGCTTTGATAAAGGACTGTTGGGTTTTTTTTTTTACATCCTCACAGTTTTCTCAAAATAAATTCTTTAATTTTCCCAGCTATAATTTTATCTCTCTAACCCCATATCCTGCTTAAAATTGCCTCCCCTTTATTCATTACAAAGCATATAACCATATTTAGAGTATTTTAAATGGTTTGCGGAATCTTCTGACTGGCAGTATTTATTTTCCTGATTTAAAACACCAGTATATTTCACGAAGGCAGAATTTGTTCTCACCTCAACTCACTGCCCATATAGTGCTCACCTGTGACCAAAGAACAAAACTCGCCTACGTTAAAAGGGATCTTTAGAAAAATGCTATATATGTATTTATTCATTATAGGGAGCATACTTCCCTAAAATGCTTAGTTTGCTCCAAATCTTCATTTCCCACAGATTTTTGCTACAAATACAGAGCTGAAAGTAACAGATAGCTCTCCTAAGGATTACCATCTGAAAAGTGCCTAATTGTAGCTGGGAAATCTGTTCAAATGTAGGTTATTCCCCTGCCAGAGGTCAATACTAATCAAGAGGCGCTGCTCCTTATCGTCTTGTCTATTTTCCAGGCTGAAATGCTTCACCTCTTAGGAATGCATTCCCTTTACTGGAACGATGGGCGTGCTCTGTGCTATGACTTGGTGGAGTTTGCTCTCTGCTTAAGCTAGGGACACCTTTAATTAATTTTTTCTCCTTTTCAGAGTCGTTCTCTTCTCCTTTCTATCCTCAATATAAAATAAGGAACCTGATCACTGCAGTGGGGCTTCACAGCAGTACACCTCCTTACAGAGCATTTCAAAATGCTGAAACAGTGCACCTTTGTGGAGCACACTGGAAGCAATTATCTAGGAATACATTGTGGTTTAGAAAAGTATTCATTTCCATGATTTGTAGGAAACACCAAAGGAATTAGTAACAAGAAGATCATCAGCAAAATGTCAAAACTTCTTCCAAAATCCGGAAGGCAACTCCCAGACAAGAGGATAATTAAACACAGACTCTCCCTGCTTTATTAAGGCACCAGCCTTGTAATGGGAAGTCTGAGATCTAGTCTCAAGGTTGCCAAAGGCTTCCCTTGATTCTCAGCCCTCCTGCCTGCAGCTGCAGGGCCAGGACATTTGTATCATGTTTGCCTGAAAGAGAGGTTGAAGCGGCAAGTTCAAAAATATCTGTAAATCTCTTGGAAAGCAGCAGTGAGAAAAAAAGGCATAAGTGCAATGCGTCATCTGCTCACCGAGAACCTCACCAGTATTAGATAGCTTTGAAGCTGTCTGGGAGAATCAGACAGGTTATACTAAGGAAGCACTCTAGAGAAAGCCTGGATGTTTATGTAAGAGTATCAAATATAAACATATTATTAGCACATTTAGATAATGAAGTTGAAAATATAATGTGGAATGGAGGCACGGTCAATGCCTGCTTTGATGGAAAAGCACAGAGCTGGTAAGTATTCATAGAATCATAAAATGTTTAGGGTTGGAAGGGACCTTTAGAGTTCATCTAGCCCAACCCCCCCTACAGTGAGCAGGGACATCTTCAACTGGATCAGGTTGCTCAGAGCCCCGTCCAGCCTGGCCTTGAATGTTTCCAGGGATGGGGCCTCCACTGCCTCTCTGGGCAACCCACTCCAGTGTTTCACAATCCTCATTGTAAAAAATTTCTTCCTTTTACCTAGCGTAAACCTACCCTGTTTTAGTTTAAAGCCATTACCCCTTGCCCTGTCACAGCCAGCCCTGCTAAAAAAGATTGTCCCCATTTTTCCTATAGGCCCCCTTTAAGTACTGAAAAGCCGCAATCAGGTCTCCCCACAGCCTTCTCTTCTCCAGGCCTTCCCCCTGGACTGGTGTATGACCCACAGCAGTACACAGCAAAGGGAAAAATGCTGGGTGGGTCTTTGGTTTAATGTATTTTAAGTTTAAAGATTTCACATATTTTGTACATTTGGAATTTTTATATACAGGTAATGATAGTACTTCTCCGTTGCATTCAGTAGTATAAAGGGTTTACTGAAGAGGAATCAAGCAGACAGTACATGTTCTCAGCTCACCTCCAGTGGGGCTGAGCCAACCTTCTGCCGGCAATGGTTGGGCATTATTTCAGGTCTGCCTGGTCTGTTCCTCTTTACAGTCAGTGACTGCGTATGTGACATGATAAATTTTGAATTCTTTCGTCAATTTCAAACTCTGTACAGACCTATTTCAGATTGTAATCTCTACTTTGTTTCCAGAGCCTCACTTGAGCCTCCGTGCTGGCTCTGCAGCCTTCACATCAAGTTAAAACAAGTAGGCGAGGTTGGGAGAAAGCCCCCCCTGTTGCTGGGAGCTACACATTCCACCTGGAAGATCCTCTGTTCAGATGGAAGCACTTTTGGATGCAGCTGGCCAAACGCAAGAAAGCCTGCTGCATCAGATGAGCTGGCAACTCAAAAGACCTATTGCTGGGGCTGCATAGGGCCAATCGAGAAATTGCATGAGAGACCCAACAAGGTTACAAAAGGCAATCTCTTACGAGTCATTTCCCACCAGACCTTTCTAGAGTAGGACAGCGAATTCTATACAGAGGCTTCTGGTGTACTTACAGGGGAACTGAAGGTAAGGAGGGGAGAAAATCCTCTTATCAGTAAATTTAAACACAGGGGCTAGGCCTCCGGTGCTTGCTGCTTTCTGAATGATCTGTCACTTCTCCCAAGACGTCTGAATGAAGTGTGAGGTTTAGAACTCATTTTGCAAAATCTGTGTGGTTTTGCTTTAGTTAGATTGCACTCCTGTGGAGGCAAGCTGTGACTCCCAGGTGACTTGTAAACTATAAGGATGGGCCTCTGAGAAGAGTCAGAAAAAAAACCCCAAACATTGTAGAGAAAGAAATGAAGGCAAATTCCTCCTGTGCAGTGTGCAACAGCACCATAACCCATGGTCCCAGGGGAGAAAGCTGCTTTTTGACCTCTGTTAACCCTTACAGAAAGGAAAGGCCTCCTGTATTCAAGGCCATCATTTTGATGGACCCTGCTCTATAAAACTCCTGGTGGTTTGGGGGCTGGACATTACAGGAGGTCCCCTCTTCACCTGAAATCAGTCCACGTTAAAAAAAATGCCATGGTGGTGTTACATCCACACTTTGTGAAAATATAAACATCAAACTGATCTGCACAGCAATGTGACTGGACGGAACGGACTATGGCCACAATTAAGTAAATTTTACCTGTTCTGTATTTCTTTCTTCTTTTTATTCATCAATCTGAAAAATCAATTATATTCTTCATCTAAAATTATTTTGTTCACAAGCAAAACAAAAAATATGTATGTTACAGGACACAATATCAATACTCATTTCTGAAACTCCCCTGCCTCCTTTTCTCCTAAACACTGTAAACATACCCTGGTATATTTATATGCAATCACAGCAACCTGAGATCAGTGCTTAAAAATAAACCAAATAGGAACTGCAGTGTGTGTGTGTGCACAACGAACGCACCAATCTATAGCAGGGGCTGAAGAGATGACATTAGGGGAATATTGTCCATTGTGTTTGTTTGGGTTTAATCCAGATTGTTAAAGCTTGACATGCAGAGGGTTATGCAACGTTTTAGTTTAGGTTTGTTTTTTTTTTTTTAATAAATGCAACGGTACTCATCACTGAGGTGACTAGACTGAGTCGCCTTGTTGCATTCTAGATGAAATGGCCAGCGCTCTTTTCCAAGGGTAAGCACACATCTAGCTATCCCCATTTTGAGGTACCCAGTCAGACCCCAAAAGCATCACCAACCTGGTTGTAGGTGCCCCTTACCCTTTGCCATCCCTCTCTCAGAACCCAAGTTTTTGATCTGCTGAATTCTGTGACTACGCTGCAACAGATTCACAGATGGATAGGAGCAGTACATGTCCCCCGGGCCTTTGAAAAGCAGATGGAATTAAGGTATCATCCTGAAGGCAACGGATATCTACAGTAGCTATAGGGGAAATGTGCATATATGCATAAAGGAAGAGGCGAGAGTAAGTAAAAACGTCAAAGGCTTTTTAGTTTGTTATCAGCATATTGGTGCATCTCTGTCTCCCATTACCTCTTCAATTCCCTTGTGTGACAAAAAAAAGATTTCAGGTTTACTGCTGCATTTTCCCTTACACGCTGAAGAACTCAGGATTTTTAATTAGTGGTTTTATACAGTTCTTTATGGCTTCTCAATTTAGGCACCTGCATCAAATGAATTAAGACAGAATGTAATGGTTTCTTTGATGCAGTGTTGTACAATGCTAAGCACCAAGCTTACAGCAAAAGGAAAACAGCTGCATCACTCACAGAAAAAGTCCAGATGTGTTTTGCAGTAGGTAAAACAGAGACTGCAGGAGATGGCACACAGCAAACTAGATAAAATAAAGGCACAGGGTTTATTTTGGTTACAAACCCAAACATCAAGTGCTTTCTAGTCACATACCAAAGGAGATAGGAGCAGAATGGGCAACAATGGGAGGTTTTGTGGATTTTTAAACAGCATGAGTCAAATACTTAAAAATCAGCATTTCAGCTGCTGGAAAGTTGCCTACATGGCAGTAGGCGCTAGAAAATTTGCCCATCCGTGAGCTCAGTAGCAAAAACAAGCTCCTGGTGCACACAGAGTTTTGAGAAGATGAAAGCTCACAGTCCACGGTTCAGAGGAAGGGTCCAGGTCCCACAAGTGCTATTGTGATAAACTATTAATTATGTATGAATACAGCATTGATGGTATTGCATTGCATTGTGAAACACAGCAGGTCCCCGAAGGAAGTACTACCTAGTTGTTTTTATATCCCTCAGAGACAGACTTCTCCTTGACACCTAGAAAGGAATATATAATCCAGGGGGGCTGCTTCTCTGAGTAAATTTCCTTCCTGACCCCTCAAGAGGGCTCCTGCTCAGGGCCATACACCTCCTCTTGCAGAACAGCCAAGGAGTATTTCTGGTCCTACCAAAGGCTACACACGTACTGTGTGGCCTCACAGTAGAGAAGGCTGGAAAAGACCACATGTGCAGGTCCATACATTTTTCAATAGTAAAAAATGACCCTACAGCAACTTTAGCAGGCTTTCTCCAAATAAAAAAAGAAACCATTTACAGGGCAAATAGAACAGAGAAATTGGATTGTAACAGAGAAGCCCACGATAAAAAGACATGAGTTTTCACTAAATTATTCAATATAGGAGTAAGCAAATCACAGTTTAGTGGCAGGTCACTGTTCAATTAACCTTTACAAACAGCTGCATTTAATAATTTGTTTTGTTTAGATAAATGTTAACATAATACAGATTAATAACTTGTCTGAATTACAGGGCTAAAACTGCTCCAGTTCAAAGTAAGCATTTGGTAAATCACTGGTGCAGCAACACATCCAGTTATTAAATGCCCTAAAGTCAGACCAAAAGCCAGATTAAAAATTTACTGACAGAAAAATCGCCTGTGAATTTCAAATTATGATAGTTAATATTCATTATTTCAGTGACTAAATCAAAGAAATGACCCCAAAAGTTTTATACCATTTTAACCTACTCTTCTCTACCTCAGATAATGCTTACCTTTGTATCTAACTTCCTTTTAATGGTGAACCGCCTAAATGATTACTTTAGCAGCAGGTAAACGTCTAAAAATGCAGCAGTGACTTCTAATAAATAAAGAGGTTAAATCCTCTCAGAATAATTCAGATATACATTAATTTTCACCATGCAATAAGGCAACAGAACTGGTCTCCACAGTGAAACTTTTCAAGGAAATATAAACTGGAGTAAACCTGCTGTATATTCACAATCAAAAAACCTCATTTGGAAGCTAGGAAAAAAATGAGGCTTATGTCCCCCTTTCTCTATTACTTCTCACCAACATTCAATTTTCAGCTGAATCTTAGGAGTTTGGGGCACAAAAATACCACATTAATGGCAAGACAGGCAGCATTGGCAACCTCCCAAGCGTAGCTGTGCTAGCAGCACAGCCATCTCAAGTGCATATATGCAGAAGTATTTGTGGTCTAAATGCAAATACTTCAAGGGGCTTTTTAGGGAAAGCTGCTCATGCTGGTAACCACACACCAAATTATCTCTAGGTAAAGACACAGACTTGTGCATTATACAGGAAGACCAAGTGCTCCAGTACAACACTGATAAAGGTGGGAATAAGCTAGTACAGAGAAGAGCGATCCCAGAAGTGCGTTTCCCTGGTATGGAAAAAATAGGCTTTGAGCATCAATTCACGTTAACTCACTAATCAGCGGTAGCTCCTCCATCATGACGATCTTAGCTGGATCTGAGCTGAAGCTTCCATTTCTCCTACCATTTTGTCAAGCCAATCTCCCTTCTTGCACAGAAATCCTGGAAACAGAAACCACTCTGTCACTTTCATGAGTGTAGCTATGCTTAGGGAAGAATAATGAAAACTTGGTGCTGGGAAACATAAACCAAGGATGCATCACTTTCTCTCCCAGGTCCCGGTCTTTGATTACTCCACTCCAAATGTTATTTGCCAAAAAGTACCAAAAAAATTTGGTTGTCAAGGTATGGAGTAGTTTTAGAACACCAAATTATTTGTTTAGTTGATTCATTGTTGACTACGGCCTGCAACTGCCAGTTCTTCTCCCATGGGTAGGCAAGACATTCGATGTAAGTTTTGCAGGAAGCACAGCATGTCAGTCAAAGAGGGCAATTTCACTTAAAAGCCCAGAAAATGCCTCCTCCCTACACACCTACTAACGCCAGAATTTTGCTTGCTTTACGGCCAAAAGCGGCTTGAACCTACAGCAGTCGGCATCTAAACCCATTCAGGTGGAGCTATATATTTTTATTGAATGATCACCGCTGTCTAGAACGACGAGGGAATTGTTTGCCATGTAAGTCAGTCCTACGGGATACGAAAGCCCGTGGCTAATTAGAGGGTTAAAGATGGGAAACTCCTCACGTTTCCCCAAGCATATTACTGCTTGGCTACAGACATCCGTTACTATAACGCGGCCCTCTTTGTCAAAAGCCACGGCTGTAGTATATATTTTAGAGGGAAAAACGAGGTTCAGACCAAAGCTATCCATCTGGCCAATGAGATCCATCTCTGCACTGAATATCTTCACTCGGGTGCTGCTGTTGTTCGGTCCTTGAGCTTTCAGGTGCTCTATTACCACGATAGCACCCGAGGTCTGGGAGACTGCAACCCCTCTTGGGCTGATGAGCTGAGATCGGATCATCTGACACTTCTTTAATTTCCCCTTCTTGAAGTCGGCCGTCAAGCGGTAGAGAGCACCTGCCTCCGAGTCAGTCAGGATTACTTCACTCTCCGGGGTGGCATCCAAGCCCCAGGGCAAACAGAAGCTTTCCCGGACAGCCAGGACCCCCCTTCCCTCAAAATCAAAGGCCTTCACAGAGCGGTCCCCGCCATCAGTAACCACCACGTGCCCGTCCGACGTGACTGTCACATCAAGCGGGTACTTGATATCGTTGCCCGCGTCCCCCCGCTCCCCGAACCGCTGCAGGCAGGATCCATTGGGCCCAAAGACGTGGATCCTCTTCTTGCCATCGTGTGCCACCACCAGACGCCCCGACCTCCTGCAGGCCGCCACCCCGGTGGGGTTGACCAGCGACCCCCAGCCCCCCA